CGGTGGGGACTTTTGTTCGTGTGGTCGGGCTTTTTTTCTCCTCCGTCTCCCCGGAGGTAAAATGCGCAGCGTGCTGGGAGATGAGGTGTTAGCAACAAGTCAGCTCGGGAGGTTTGCTGCTTTTCGTGCCAGCCCTGGCTCTGGGATGTTTATTGTGTAGTGGGGGAGGATCTGGCACTAATGCGTTGAAGAATTGGGATAAAAAATGGCGGTGGAGGGCGATGATCCCAAGGAGGGGGAGGAAGAGGTGGTGTTTGAAGAGCTGAGCCTGGTCCAGGGCACCTGGACTCGGCGGTTCGTTATATTCCCCGAGCGGTGATTAAACACTCATGAGCATATGTGTCCGAACGCGGGTTTTGGGGAGCGCCTGCTCCCAGCCCGGCTCCTCGCTGCGTTGCCTGCGTTGGCAGTGGCGAATCGATATAAAGCCAGAAAAACTGCTGCTCTTCGGTAAATGTTAATGATTATTTTACTTGCATGAAATAACTGGCCTATTAAATCAAAATGCACTGGGGTTTAGGCAGCTGTTATTCAGGGGCTTAATTAATCTGGGAAAGAATGAAGTCACACGAAATAACTGGCTGCTTCTCACCCGAGCTCACACCACTTTGGCGAGTGGGATCTCTGCCGGCTGTGAGCATCAGCCCCCCAGTTTCCACCAGCATCCTGCACCCACAAACTCCAGCCGTGCCTTCTAGCCCAGCCTCCTTGGCTTTGCCGTGGGCACCGTCATCTCGAGCAGCTTTGGTGGTCTCTAGCATCAGACCTTGGGCAAAATCTTGGCTGGGGCTGACCATGCCGGGACATGGAGGTCTTCTCCCGAAGCAGCGAGCCCTGGTGACACTGAGGTGCTGTCTGGCACAGCTTTCCAACGGATTTATTTTTAACTTGCAGTCTTGGATCGAAGAGTGGAAATTCAGTGATTTTTGTAGTGGGAAAAGAGTGGTGGAGTCTTTAAGGTTCAGAGACGATGTTTTCATTCCAACTTTATATGCAAGTTAGTATTATTTCAACTGTTTATATATCACTAAATCATGTGTTGGGATGAGTTATTAAGGTTTTCTATATAAAACACCAAAAAGATGCTTTCAAGGGGTGATTAATTGAAAATATCCCATGGAAAATATCATGGAAATAATTGACGCTTTTCCTGTGATATGTTGTCCCTTTAAATGCATTTTCCTCGAGAAAACAGCTTTCAGCCCCTGAAGGATTGCTTTCTAACGTGGCCGGGTTCGGAATCTCCCTTGGAGGATGCGCCCCGGGTCGCTGTTGCTCTTGCACGCTGCCAGTGCCGCTTGCATGGCTCCATCCTGGCACGGCCGGGCTCCTGCCTGCCTTGTCCTTCCCCTTGCCCCTGCAGCGTCGGGTCCGCTGCGGGCAGCAGGGGCTTTGGGCTTCCCAAAGCTGTCTCACTGGATTGAAATGCAAACAGACCTTTAGCAAGAGCCCTGGGACTTTGGCTTTCTGGGTTTTTTTCTGTCCCTTTTGCAAGCAGGATGGGCAGGGGTTGGGATGCAGAAACCTGGACAAGAACCTTTGCTTGGCACCAAGGGATGGGGAGGGACCGGGTGCTTTCCTGCACTGCCCAGTCCCGTTCTCCAGGCTGCTTTCGCACTGATTCAGTCTTCCTTTTCCTCTTTAATTGCCCACCCGTTGGGACGTGGAGCAGGCTGGTTCCCTGCTGATGCTCTCTGCATCCATCCCTTCCCTTGCCTTGGCCACATCTCATGCCTCGGGGTTGTGCCAGAGGCTGCTTGGATGGCCATGGACATCCATACCATGGGATAAAATCTCCTCCATCCCCAGCTTGCTGTGCCAGGTCTCCCTGCAGCGGGATCCGTCATGTCCCAAACCCCTCTTGTGTCGCCAGCGGCTGCGGCTGGACCCGGCGGGAGGAGGCGCGTGGGCTCCTCGGGCTGCAGTGCTTTCCCAGGGCTTGCTTCGCCCCTGGGAAAGGGGCAGCTCAGCGCTGCTCTCCGTGCACGACGCCAGTGAGCCTTCGACCTGTGCCAGGGACAGGATTTTACCACCTGGCTTTGTGCCCCATCGCCGCCAGCCCGAGCTCCCGGCGTGAACCCAGCCTGTGTCCCCACCACCTTAGAAACTACCAAATTTCATCCTTTTTTATTGCCCTTCTGATTCCTCCAGGGAAAACCCTTGAGCTTCTGTCCAGGAGGGCTAGGAACGTCCACAGCCTTCAGTCACATCCGACACCCAGTCTGGGGCTGGTGACTCCCAGCCAGGGCTGCTGGGGCGTGGGAGACGCGCTGACGCTCCGCAAAGTCCCGCAGAAAGCAGATGCTGGGACTCGAGCCGGGATTTTTTGGCCTCCCGTGCCCG